AAAAAAAAAAAAAAAAAAAAAAGATTACTGCAGTTGGCTTTAAGTGACGCTGAAGACGAAAACAGTCGGATATATCCGTTTCAGACAAAACATAAAAAAAAATTTTTTTCAAATCGTTATTTTTTTTTCTTTTTTTTGCCGCAAAAAGATTGCTGCCATTTTGCTAATTATTTGAATTATGGGCTGACTTCCTGAACCTGTCAGTGAATTATGTTCAACACACAGAAGCAATTCTCAAGAGTTATAAACTAAAATATAACACTGTGTATCTCTCCCCACACCACTCCTATCACCACTACCGCCGCCGCTCCCCGCTGATCCGTTTCCCATCCCATTTCCAAATCGTTTGCCCCGTACTCAGCACTTCTCACTGGTGAAGAATATAATATCAGTTGAACAACAACAACAACAACAACGACAACAACAACAAAAACGACCAAACAGCAATTTTAGTTCTAAATCTCTTTTTTTTGGCTCAATTTTTTTTTTTTTTGCTGCAGCTTTTACTGCAGAAGCAAATAAGCATTTCTTTTCAATATGTTTTTTTCTGGTTTTTTTAAATTCCAAGAGAGAAGAAAAAAGATTTATGTATCCAAAAAAGTTCTAGGCATTCTTTTTTTCCCTCTGCATTATTTTTAAAATATTTCCTTTTACAGTATCAATAGACAAAGAACAAAGACAAATACTATAAAAACTGATAAAAGAGAAACGCTTTTTAACAATCATCAAAAAAGAAAAAAATTGATGTTGCAACTCTTTCAAGTCAATCCTACGGTAGTCTGTGGAAATAATCTTTTTTTTGTTTCTTAAAATGCTATTGAAAAAATTGAATGAATATATAAATGTACACCAAATTTATAAAGTACCATAAAATTTAGCTTTTTTTTTCTAGGCTATAAGTATTTTCAGTTTGTAAATGGCACAACAGCAAAGAACGAAAAACAAACAAACAAATACAACAAAGACAATAAGTAAAGTAGTAGAAAGAGCTAATCTGCTTTTTTGTTTTTTTACATAAACTGTCACCTTTTTTTTGCAACACAGATTGCAACATTTAAGCAGCTTTTTTCTTTTTCTAATCACTATTTTTATTCCCCTCTTTTTTTTTTTTTAGATTTCTTCACTTCTTTCTTCACTTTCATTCTTCCTGTTTCTTCATTTTCTGCTATTCGCTATCTTTCTTATCACCAACAATATCATCTCAGTATCACTGAAATGTTATTGAGTGACCAGTGAACACCAGTTCAAGAAATTAATGAAGCAATTATTCAAAGAAAAACTTTTGTTTTTTTCTTCATTTTTATTTCTGTCAAATGTGGAAACTGAATATTTTCTGTACTTTTGTTTTTCAGCCTTTTTGTTTTGTTTTTTTTTTCTGCTTTTTTTTGTGGCATTCTTCACTCTGGTCACAGAACAACTGTTTCTTCACAGCAGTGGTGATGGTGGTGGTGGTGGTGATGATGATAATAATGATGATGATAATGATGATGACGAGGATGAGTTATTCGTTGTTAAAACTTGTGGCTAAAATCACTTCTCAAATTCTACTTTCACACCTTCAGTTTTTTTTTTCCTTTGCACTAGCAGTTCTATGAGTCTGTTAGCTGCTCATCTAATTAGCCGAGAAAAGTAGAGAAATAGTTGCTGCAATAATACAGTAAAAGAAAAAAAAAACAAATTTGTTTGATTTTCAGCATCTTAAAATTTTCTGGTCTTTCTGAAATTATTTTTCTTCACATTTTGACTTCAACAGTCACTTTTTATCTCACCACATTTGCAACTTATAAATGAAAAGCTATTTTTTTTTTTTTTTTTTTTTTTTTTTTGTGAATAAGGATCAGACAGGGATGAAAAGACGAAAACACACACAAAAAAGAAAATTAATGAGAAAATTTAGAAAAAATTTATTTATATAAATTGAAAAAGCCTTGACGAACAGTTGTACAGACTATGGCAAGATAAAAGATGAAAAAGAGAGCAATAATAAAAGTTAGAAAAAAAAAAAGGTAATCAACAGTTACAACAGCGATAGAGCAGCAATTATCCAAACTAAACCAAACTAATCTTGAACGATGAATAGGAAAAATTGGAGTTGCTTAAAAAAGAGAGTATAATTTGCAGCTTTTTGTTTCAAAGTATATAGACA